ACACTCAGAGCCATTATGCACTGAGTCTGGGGCCCCAGATTCGGCTATGACAGGCTGTGGAGGCCAACTTTACTTCTTGTGAATTAAAGCCAAGCTATCGAAGCAACATTGGCAAGGTGATTCGTGTAAATCTGTTAGGTTCAAGCGGCTGGCATCGACCCTAGGACCTGGATTTGGCGTCCCAGCACATGGGGTGACATGGGGCGGTAGCGCGCAGCCGTGCGGCAACCATCACATCTGTACAGTATAAGGTCCTCCTGTTTTCGCATCTACTGAGACCCAAGCACTATCTACCCTTTTGAGGAGCTTGACGTGGTTATTGTATTCTCCGGACGAAGTGTCGTCTTCTTGTCAAAGTATTTTGTGCATACACCGCGACAATGGTCTCCAAGACTAGGGTGTACAATTGGTAAGTCCATCATCGCTATCAGCGACATACATCTGATATGATAAGGTACATCTCGCTCGTCGCAGCGTCATGCATGGTGCTCTACGGCTACGATGCTTCGGTCTTCAACGCCTTGCAGAACACGAAACACTGGAACGCGTATTTCGACCACCCGGGTCCAAACCTCATAGGAGCGATTAATACTGCTTATACTGTCGGTGCGGTGGTTGCCGGCTTCTTCATGGGAGGACCCCTTGCCGACTACGCCGGACGACGTATGGGCATGGCTGTCGGTGCTGCCCTTGTCATTGTTGCTACCTTCATGCAAGCATTTGCACCTCGTGGAAACATTGGTGTCTTTATTGCTGGTAGAGTAATCATTGGTATTGGTCAGGGTCTTGCGTTGAGTAAGTTCGAAGAGAAGGTGTACAGCAAGCATGACTGACAATCCGCAGCCGCTGGTCCCATATACATTGGCGAAATGGCCCCTCCTGAGATTCGAGGAAAAATCATGTCTTTCTGGCAAATGTTCTACTCCGTCGGTTCATGGTGAGCGGCATTCCGTAACTGTCCCTTATCATGGCCACTTTACTAACGTTCTACAGTATGTAACCCACAATGATTTATACCTTACACACATGGTTTGGACATGCACTGACATCGTACCGCGACATTTAGTCATCGCGTACTGGGTCAGCTACGCTACCTCCAAACATCCAAAGGGTCTCGGGGAGTGGGACTGGAAGATGGTCGTGATCTTCCAGATCCTCATGCCTCTTGTCATCCTGTCTCAGGTCTTCTTCATCCCCGAGTCTCCCCGATGGTACGTCCAAAAGTCGAAGAACTACGATGCGGCTCGTAAGTCGCTTATCCGTGTCCGAGACACTGAACAAGAAGCCGACGAAGAGCTTCTCAGTATCAGAGAGGCTCTGGAATACGAGGCCGAGGCCATCTCTTCAGGTTACTCTGCTCTCTGGAAGGACAAATCTATCAGGAAGAGAATGTTGATTGCCATGATCATAAACGGCGGTCAGCAGATCACCGGTCAAGGCACACTCAACACGTACAGCAGTGCTATTTATAAGAAGGTCTTCAAGAGTACCGACACAATTGCTTTGATCAACGCTCTCAACGCTACTTGGGGCATTATCGTCACGCTAAACGCTACATGGACAGTCGATCGATTCGGCAGGAAGTTCTTGTTCATCGTCGGCGGTATTGGCATGGGCATTTGCATGCTTATTGCAGCCACCGTGGAAACACAAACACCGTCTGTTGGTGGTGTCAAGTCGCAGCCTGTCGGCATATCGATCGTCTTCATCATGTTCCTTTTCGCGTTCTTCTGTAAGTCAAGCTGACGCTTTTTAAAGGATGACGCTAACGACAGTCAGATAAACCTTCATGGGGCGCCACAGTTTGGATCTTTACCTCTGAGATCTTCTCCATGAACGTCCGCGCCCAGGCTGTAGGCATGTGTTCCCAATCACAGAATGTCATCAACAGTATTGTGCAGCAGTTCTTCCCAATATTCTTGAAAAACGAAGGTTTCTACGCGTTCTATATGTTCGCTGGTATCAATTTCCTCTTAGTCGTTTTCGTTATTTTCTTCGTACCAGAGACGAAGAAAGTGTCCCTGGAAGAGATGGATGAACTCTTTGGTGGAGTGAACCATGTCATCGGCGGTGCCGAGATGGAGCAGAAGGATCCCGCCAGGCATCAGAGTCTGTCGATTGACCCAGAGAGCAAGACCATTACCGAGAAGAGGGTAGTTTAAACTGTTTCAGGGTCTAGGGATTAAATTCAAGTACCATGGTAGCGTGCGCTAGAGAGGTATTTCTGTTATTTTTGACCCCCATTTACCACATCAACCATACATCTGACCAGCGCTTCCCAAAGAATCACAGAAAATGAATTTCAAGCATATGATATCGTTCCTTGGTCCAGGAGAGAAGAGGTATAAATGATTTTCCGCCGCAGTTCTTTTCGGGATGCATCTTTCACTACACATCCACTCGCAGCACATGCCCAGCACATACCCAGCACATAAATTATCAGATAACACACCTCTGAGATCATGTCCAGTCACGATACAAAGTCTTCAGGGAACGTTTCAGACAGCTGGGCAAGCACAGTTATGAACAGCATGGCAAGCCACAATACAAGCGATATCGAAAGCCCACCAGACAGATGGCCAAGCGCGCTGATCAACAGCAACGGGGTGCACAGGATGACAAAGCCCCAGCAGTCATCTCCTCTGAACTTCGACTGCCCGAGCGACGTCTCGTCAGCAGCTGTCTCCCTTCCTATCAGTATACCAGGGAAGCAGACTGCAGTCGTCAAGATGAATAATACCGCTTGCTTGGCCGACAACCATCCTTTCAAAGATCACAAAGTCCACTGCTATAAGGATAGTGTCGGGGACTACTGCAGGCGAGACAGAAATGACGGGTGGGAGTTCATGCGACAGAAACGAAGAGAGAACGTGGAGTCGCAGGTAGGGAAAGTATTATTAGGGTCGTGGATGTCGGTCGTTTCTGCAAAGACACAGAACGTGAAGAGGAAAGACATTGTTTCTGCAGCCAAAGAAAAGCAAGAATCCGAGTTCGACGAGATTGAAACGTATCTTAATGGTGGCACGGACCTGTTAGCATATTTGAGGAATGTAAGGCAAGAGGTGAAGACAAAGGAGATGAGTCTTGGTGAACTCGGAGTGTTGGTCTTACACGCCACCTTACCAGATGCATTGCATTCAGCCCTACCCGTCCGTGGCCCTGCTAACAGCACGTCATCCGCGCTAAATAAATTCCATGTACGAAGGACGCCAAATGGAGTCGCACGCCGGCCGGTCGCCCGTTTACTGGGACAGCATATAGATATTTCGCGATTGACTTTTCACTCTGATCTACTGAACTCACACCTCCGTTTCTCTACTTTGACAATCACTTGCAACTTGATCACACCGATAATCCAACATGGCAACGTGAGCCCCACCATGCCCCTCCAACACCATTTCACCTCACTAATGGAGCTATAGCAACATCACATGGCACCCATCTCTGTCGCGCGCTGAGCGTAATGGCTTCCGCAAACAAAAGGGCTTTACCATCTGGTTCACCGGTCTCTCCGCGTCTGGAAAGTCCACAATCGCAACCGCGCTCGAGCAACATCTGCTCCACCTCGGTTTCGCAGCGTACCGCCTCGATGGCGACAACGTGCGCTTCGGCTTGAACAAAGACCTTGGATTCACAGAGAAAGACCGCAATGAGAACATCAGGCGGATAGCAGAGGTTCGTCTCAACCCCGCCGATCGCACGCATCACCGCATCGCACGGCTTAAGCACGCCATATCCAGCGACTGACATGTTCTTTTTTCTAGGTCGCCAAGCTCTTCGCCGACTCCTCCACAATCGCCATCACCTCCTTCATCTCCCCATACAAGGCAGACCGCGCCCAGGCTCGCGACCTCCACGCTGTCACCACCGGCTCTGACGAGCCACTTGCCTTTGTGGAGGTCTTCGTCGACATCCCGCTTGAGGTCGCCGAGGCGCGTGATCCCAAGGGCCTGTACAAGAAGGCGAGGGAGGGCAAGATCCCCGAGTTCACAGGCATCAGTGCGCCGTACGAGGCACCGGAGAAGGCGGAGATCCACATTCGCAGCGATCTAAAGAGTGTGGAGGATAGCGTGAAGGAGATCGTTGAGTATCTGGAGAGCAAGGGACTTTTGGCGTTGGAGAAGTAAGTGTGCTTGCTTAGCATCTTGGTTTTTGGATGTTTCTGAAGTAGCGTGGGATGAATTCCGGGTCGTGGCTCACGACTGTAAATAACACGATTGCGAAGGACAAATATATTTGCATACGATGGAAGTTATTGCACGAGTCAAGTAGCATTGGAGCGCTCCACGCCATCCTGTGATCATTCGCGAGTCTTGTGGTAGATGGCTCGTCGCACCAGCGGTTTCCTGACTAATCTTCTCATAAAAAGAATGCCATGAAACATGTCTCTTATTATGTGGATGTACGCCGAAGAGAAGTCGTTCTGGGTGACCCTGTAGAAGTGAGATGATGATAGATTTTCGGTCCGTGTTTGCGATAGTTTCAGCAATGAAAATTAAACTTTTACGGTACAGGACGAATTCTTGTACTATAGAACAAATATATGTATGGGTGCTGTCGTGTTTTTGTCGCACGAATCTCAAGTGTTTAGCAGAATTGCCCGACAGTGCGAAGCTGGTACTGAACGACAGCAACGTGTCGAGTTGTTTGGTTCAGTGAATATCAACGCCACAATATCATTCCCAACGGCATCAGGATGTTTAGATCTGCATTGCACTCTCACTGCGGGTTTCGGTGGTAGAATGAAGTCCGATGAAGTTCTTGTCACGTGCGTTCTCTGCAGCGGTAAATATAGCAGCAAGAACAGATCGACATGCACAAAGCACTTCCCCCCTGCAAGAGGGGTGTACTCCAGTTCTCGAGCCGGGATAAAAAATAATTTGATTTGCTACCACGGTCGTAGCTCGGCAGTGAAGCGTCCTAGCCGAACATCTGCTCCGCCACCCACCACAACACCAAAAAAAGATCCTGGGGTATCTGGTTGGAGCCAGACGAAGTATTGATGAGAGTGGGACTCGAACCCACGCCACTTTCGTGACCAGGAAGATAGAAGAGATTCTATCCTTGTGCTAAGGAGAGACCTTAACCTGGCGCCATAACCAACTCGGCCATCTCACCATTTGTGATTTGATGGCTAAAGTCAAATTTATTGATATAATATTCTGTGCAAAATTTGAGCGGCAGCAGGGTGTATCGATCCTGTAGGGTTCGGTGTGGTTGGGCGGGGTGTCAAGATTTTCCGGCTAAAAGCATCAGTGGCTGCATCTGGCCCCCCGTCTACTTTTATTGGTAGCTAGGCGATACCAACCACTGAAGAATGCATCGTACGCTCTATTGTTTGGCTACATGATTTAGGACCAACGATAACAACAATTATTGGATAGTCTGACGGTCAGATACAATCTTGCTTTGATGCCGTATGAAAACACCGGAAAGACGGAGAACGCAACTATACTTCCAGCGAGGAGCAGCAAGCAAAAACACTTCCACGAGAACTGTTTACTTGGTTAAGTCCCAAGATCTGTTGTGTGCCAGTGTGCCCCTGAAGTTTGCGACTGCATCTATGGAGAACATGAAGGGCAATTTGTCCTATCTGAGATCTATGCGCAACAGACCAAAAGTCTAATACCAGTGATCAAGGCAAACCACAGTACAAACACGCTCGTTAGTTTGTCCATTTGGTCTGCCCAAATAGGGTACAGTCACGGGATCTAGCATCTCCATCCCGCTAAGACACTTTGGTACTGGTGTCTTGGCAAAGAAATGGCCGCGAAACTCGATCGCAATCAACGCCAGGCACGCGCAACAATTTATCGAAACGAGGAAGTTTGACCTAGGAGCAGTGATTGCCACATTACACTTGGATTCCTGCGAGAAGTCCCCGGTGTTCTGTGCCTGGCGCTGTCACACGCCCCTGGCTTGCGCTTTTGCGACGCGTCGACCCATCGCGAGCTGGACGAGCTACCGACCTCCCTCTATCAGGCGTCGCAAACGTCAACACCATGTTTACAACCACGGGAAAGACAGCGCCTCCGCAGGCTTTCATGTCCAGCTATGCGCCGCGATTGCGCAGCCACGGAAACTCCCTGATATCGCCCGTCGTCCCACTTGCCAACACGTTGCCAGCACCGCGCGTGACGAAGCGCGGAACTGCTGTACTAAGCTATGCGGAAGATGCATACGATGATGACGACTTCGAGGACAGTGACCGCCCGCGCCGCGCGACAGGCTTGCGAAGCATTCAGCGCGGGACCGATGCATCAACTCTGGACCAGACTGCGCAGATAGCGGCGCTGGGGGAAGAGCTCACCAAGCCTATCGAGCTTCAAGGAATCTGGCGAGATTGGATGGGCCGACCTAAGCGCACTTTGTGAGCAATGCCTTCGTCCTGGTTACGATGCTGGGGAGTCAATTATAGCTAATGCAGCCTAGGACCGAAAAGCAAGTCCAGACACAATCTGTTCTTCCAGTGACTTTGATCCCAATCCGCATCGACGTAGACATCCAACCGTTCCGACCAGATGCGCCGCTCCCCACACCTTCCAACGCTCGAGAATTCGGTATCAACGAGCACCTACCGGCATACAAACAACCAGACATGACACCCGCGTACAGACTCAAGGACTCGTTCTTGTGGAACCTGCACGAAGCTCTTACAACACCGGACCAGTTCGCCAAGCAATTCGTGGATGAGTTAGATCTACCCAATGATCGCAAACCGCAGCTCATCATGGTCATGGCGGGTCAAATCCGGCAGCAACTTGAAGAGTATGCAGGAGTTGCGTTGCATCCTCTCTTCCACTCGACATCAGCTCCTGCTCTTCAAGGCACTGTTGGACAGCCACTTCAGCATGTGGTTTTGCAAACTGGCGTTTCGACTCCTGTTGCATCTCAAAGGAACGGCACTGCGACGCCTGTCGTGCCCCAAACGAACGGCACTTCCACACCCATCACAAATGGGGTTACAAGGATGAATGGGACACAGACACCGGCTGCCCTGCCAAACGGTATCACTGCAACCGCAACCGCGCTACCCTCTGAGGAGCTCCACAACCCCGACGATACCTATCGCTGTATCGTGACGCTGAACATCAACCTGATGAACCGGCTTTACACTGATAAATTCGAGTGGTCACTGCTGCACCCTCCTGGGTTTGCAGAGATGTTTGCAAAGACCACGTGTGCCGATATTGGACTGTCAGGTGAATGGGTGGCAGCAATGACACATGCCATCTACGAAGCAGTGTTACGGCTAAAGAAAGAAGCATGCGAGAATGGCGGCCTTGTCGGAGATGGAGAGATTGACAATGATGCGGTCGAACCGGCCATCGGAGCTGGATGGAGATACGATCATGAGCATCTATGCGACGAGTGGGAACCAAAGATCGAGATGCTCTCTAAGGAAGAGATCGAGAAACGTGAAGGCGATCGCGAAAGGCAAATTCGAAGGCTGAGGAGAGAGACAGCACGCTTTTCCTCCACATCAAATATGCCTGGTGGGCCTCAGAACGAGTTTTTCAACAACATAGAGCAGCAAGAAAACATGGGACGAGGTGAAAGAAGTAAGAAGAAGAGAAGGTTCAGGAGCTTGAGTCCGGTCGGTCGCGACACTCCGGGAGCGGGGTCAGGCTACGGCGGGCAGGAGGGCCTCCTTCAAGAAAGGTACGTCCCAATCCGTTATCATGTCTTCATGCAGACTAACGTAAATATAGCGAACGACACACCTGGCGATGTGCGCATTGCTATGTATGGGGTACCGCTGTGTGGGCTGTCCGTGATGGTCCACGGGGCCCACGGAGTCTTTGCAACAATTGCGGATACCTGTACGAGCGGGACAAGAAACTGCCTCCTTGGTCCGAGAACCTGTTCTATCACGAGCGGCCTCACCATGAAGTTCAACAACCTTATCGACCGCAGCGATGATGGTGCTTGTTGGACACCTCCATATTGTAGCATTTCTCAGCGTGGGCGTTTCTGGTTGCTATCGTGCTCGATAAACGAGTTGATGTACAACACAATGTCGGAGCAACCTGGTGATGAAGAAGATTTATTTCTCCGGTATGACAGAGGCGGACTGCCTTTTTTCATTGGGGCTTGCGTTCTTATCTTTCCTCACCCCAAAGCATTAAATTCTGTTGGCTCTGCTGTGGCACGAACTGGCTGGTGGCTCATCTCGATAAATCGAGGCCTCAGGGCGTCGTTACCATCCAGAGCTGGGTCAAAGCTGAGGCCGCATCTGTACGAGTACTGCATGTCACAAATCAGCTGTATGGAAGTAGCAGCAAAGAAATCTGATATCAACATTTACAACTTCCTTTGTCTCGTAAACCTATTTCCTAGCCAAGGGGTGTGCTGCTTTCACTCCTTCACGGTGTCAAAGCGTAGACTAGGCGATAGCCAAACAGTTTGCCACTGTTGAGAACCCTTTCGATGCATTGCAGAAGTTGGACATCGTAGCGAGCCCGCGATAACCTCCATGCATCTCAAGTCTCATCGTCGAACACCCTTACGACCGAAACTTTAGCACAAAATACCAAACAAAATGTACTCCATGAATTGAAATTAGGACAAATATTACAAACTGCGATTCATGCGTTCATATATAAAGTCAACGACCCGCTGTGCTCGGAGCGAAGGGTGCCTGAGGTGCTCATGCGGCTAAATGGTGGCCTTGCACCGGGTCTTTGCAGCGACTTCCACCACCACACCACCATCTGAGATCAGCATTTCTATTGTGCACTCGGGAAGAACATTCGGTCATGAAACACCGTGCAACCACCGGTGCCTAGAGATTTGCACTGGATAAAAGAAAGGACAGCGGAAACGTAGATTTGGAAAACACGCCACCACATCTCGTGTTCGTTGTTTTCCTATTGTTCGCAGGCTCTTATTGTGTTCCCGAGTAGGCAAAGGCGTTGGACGAACATTGCTAATCCAGCAAAAACACGCCAGCGACACGATCCAAGTTAGCAGCTTCGATGACACATACTGGTCTAAATATCTAGTTGCCTATCCAGCTATTGTTGCTCCAACAGTGCCGGTGAAGCTCGGTCTGCCTGTCAGACATCATTGGGTCATGCATAACAGGGTATGTTACACTCGAAGCTTGAAACAGCTAGCGTGCCCTTATTGAGCGATGAGGGTCACAATAGGAAGTGTGCATGTGTGTCGTGCGTGTGTGGCACAGCATAGATTAGGAAGTTGTCTTAGGATGTGGGTGCACGACTTGGCGCCTGTTTTGGCTTGCTATTGTGTGGGTGTTTCAGTAACTGTCAATAGAAATGGCTGGGGTGGAAGGGTGGTGGCTTTCGAGTAGGTATATTATATGTGGGTGGGCCTGGTGCTGGTGTTGACTACATCAGTATTTTGCGAACGAGATTGATCGAAAAGAGTACAACATTGTAAGATTGATTTGGACACTACCGCGATAGAAAGCAATATGTAAGTTTGGATGTCTGATATATTGAGGTCTAAAACTAGCTGACTTTCCATCAGAGACCATCTGCGAGCGGAAGAATATTCCTAGACTTGAGGACGACCACGAGCCTACTCCGTCAGACTAAGATTACAATACCCCATATCAGTCCACTCCGGGTCCTCTTGCTATCCCAGCCAGATTTCCTCCCGGGAGAGTCTTCATCCATCCGCCTCCAGCTTTCGCGATCTCGCCTCGCTTGACCCATACTCATACGGCGATCACGCCACACTCGTCAACATCACGATACCGCATCACCATTACCCGGCTGAAGATATCCACAAGATCAAGAAAGCAACATAATGGATCCACACCGCAACTTTGCTCTCAACACTGCAAAGATCCGAACTATTCTTCAGTCAGCATCTCAGAATAGCGCTACTTCAAGGCGATCAGAAGAGACCAGTGACATGCCCGCACCACCAGCATACCATACTGTTGTCGATCCACACGCACCGCTACCAAACATGCAGAACCCGTATGATGCGATAGATGACGACGAGAAGGACGAAGAAGACGTGCCCGAAATCACAATCAATGCAGCCACACAAGTTCGAGGAAACGGCAACATCATCTCAATCGCACAGGTGGATAGTGTGCGGATAGCAAATCTGATCGCGGTGATGCTGCAAACGACAGGAAA